GCTGGTCTCAGCGGCTTCGTTGTAACGAGATTTTACTGTATACTGCATATATATACTGGACACGGTTGAACCTCGGTAACTCATCGAACGTATCTCCAAGTCGAATTTTGTATCTCAAGCCCCCCCCTGGAAACAATAATATGCATTAAAAATCTGCCCGACTCGAAGGCTTTCTCGCTCAAAACCTCGAATTTTCCGGAGGCCTTTTATTGACTATCATTGCATTGAAACCGAAGAGAGAGAGACAACAATTACTGAAAATGTAACACAATGTGTTTTGAAAGGAAGTGAAGAAAAACCCTTGGCTTTTCCAAGTTCAGCATTGTGTCAACTCGTGTATATAAAAATAAGCAATCAATTCAAAAGGCCCTGATTATTATCACCATCTGCTGTAATTATTCTTCCTTTTGTTCTTTTCAGTTTTTTCCTCAAACGAAAGTACTTTTTTTTTCCCCCTCACTCAAACCCACGCCTGATTTAAATTTTCTTTTGTTGGTACTGAAAGTATCTTATATTGAAAGTCGATTGCAATTAAATTCTGTCTTCTCACATATTTGTTTCCCCGCCCGATATGAGCGCAGGAGCAGTTCGTCGACAGCAGCAGCCGCCTTCGCAGCCGCCACCGCCGCCAGTGGGAACCCGAGAGACGTCCCGGTCGGCGTCCCAGCTGGCCTCAGTCTGCTCACCAACAGTTGTCCTCCGTCCCGACGCGTGTCCTACCAGACGACGTACTCGTCTCTGGGCGGCAGTGGCGGCGGCGGTGGTGGTGGTGGTATGTGTTGCGGGGACTTGAGTGCTGGCGACGGCAGTCGACGGATGTCGTCGCGAAGCAGCGTCGGGTCGTCCCTGGGCATCGGATTGGGCGACGTTTACCGGAGAGGCAGTTCCAAGGACGGAAGGGACGAGCTGATGATGAAGCGGATCCCGAGGGGCTCGGACGCCGCGGCGGCCATGCATTTGACCGCCACGGCCGCCACCATGCGGGTGCTGAGTGTGCTGAGACACTGGGTGTCTAAGCATCCGCAGGTANAATCAATCACAAATAATTTTCCAATAAAGTGGTTCCACAGACAATCCTTTCAGAATCAAGAGATTGGTGCAACTAATAGGCTTCTGCCTCATTGCTGAAGCTGATTTTTTGGTTCAGAAGATTGCTGAGTGTTTCAAACAATAATGAATAAAAATGTGGAAATGCTAGAAAAGCAAGATATAATTGATCATGGGCAGGTATAGTCAGTCTGATGTGAGCATTTTTTCCAGTCATTAATTTTGGAAATCTTGTTACAACAATAACTTATTCAGTACTGTGCTGATATGTCTCAAATTTTTTATGAAGTCCCCAAAAGTTTGTTGTGACCAGATTTTATTGTAATTGGTTTGCAAAAATGATGAAGATGAGTAATTAGCTAATGTAATTTTGTTTTGGTTTTTATTTATTTCAATGTTGATGAAAAGGACTTTGAGAGTGAGCAGTTGAAGAGCATGACTGTGGAGTTCCTGGAGGACTGTGTGAGTGCACCAAACTTGCTGCCTGCTGAGCACAAGGCTGCCACTCAGCTGCTCAGGCTGCTGACCAGGGAAGACTTTGAGCACAAGGCCATTGATCTGGAGACTCTCTTGGCCCCACCTGCATCACCTGTGAGAGTCTACATACAGTACATATATAATTTTTTTAAAATTATTTATGCAAAATCACTCCCTTTTTCAGTTCCCTGATGACCTGAAGCATTCTTCAAAGACCTCTGTGAGTATATTTCTCTAATAATGTGTAGTTTGAAAAATGTCTTGTTTTCTGACATTATTTATTATTTGTTGAAGGCTGCTATGAGGGATCCTTGTGACCAGTTTTCTGCTCTGGAAATTGCAGAGGAGATGACTTACTTGGACCACAAGATATTCATTTCCATCAAGAGCGAGTGAGTTTTGTTGGACAACAGTACTGTATATGTATAGATTGTAGAGTACTGTATATTTTAATTTAAAATTGAAACCTGAACTTCTTCATTGATTTTTGTTTTTGTTTTCAATTTTTCCTCAGAGAATTGTTGGGCCAGGCTTGGATGAAGAGCGAGAAGAACACCAAAGCGCCTCATGTTGTGATGATCACCAAAAGGTTCAATGAGGTGTGCACTAACATATAACTCATCTCCTCATACTCGTGAACTATTGACAGACTAATTATGGGAATACCTTTTTCTTTTTGAGAGTGACGTCGTGTTGATCGTTTTTACATTCATCGTCATCATCATATTATTATTATTATTATCATTATCATGTTGGTGCGCAGGTGTCGAGGCTGATTGCTTCAGAGATCCTGAGCAAGCCGTTCATGAACGAGAGGGTGGCAGTCATCGAAAAGTGGACGGGGGTCGCGGACATTTGCAGGTGCTTGCACAACTTCAACGGCGTCTTGCAGATCTGCTCGGCCTTCACCAACTCGTCGGTGTTTAGGCTCAAGAAGACCTGGGACCGGGTTTCGAGAACGGTACAGCACTTGGCTACAGTAATTCTGGTGGTGTTGTCAAGATTATATACAATATAAAGAGTACTGCATAATATATATTTTTTTAAAAGTGAAATCTCGCTACGACAAATAATTCCCATAAGGACGACTGAATAAAAAAATTTGTTATGGAGTGAGATTCTTATTGGTCCTCTGAGCATATGTGGGACTGACATCTTGTGGGATTCATCAGGTGGAGAGAATGAAATGCCATCAAAAAGCAAGTACTTGCTGTGAGTCATTAATTTACATTTTCTTTATGATGAAGAAAACTCAGATTGTAAAATGAAATTCGCATCATTTCAGACCCCTTTTTTTCTTAAAATGCTGAAAGAAAACATTGGAGCTTCACACTTTCTGTTGCAATGTTAAATTTTTTTTACAAGAAGACATGGAATTTATATATTTTTGAAGGTTCTTCAATTTAGCCCAAGTTGGGCTTTCCCATATTTTCCCTAATGGTGAAAATTTTCTAACGGCCCCTGCTGCAAAGCAGGTAAACATGCTTTATATTGACATGATGAAAGAAAATTTGGTTTGAAAATTGTAATAACAGTAGATTGTAGCTCTGCTGGATGAGAATAAACTCCTGGAACCAATTATGAAAAAAAAAGTGCTCAATTTATAACGAGATTCGTTGTATAAGTGGTATTGTATATTGAGAAGAATGAATATTTTGCTATTGTTGTTGTTCTGTTGTTTTTTGAGAACAGACGAAACAAACGCTGGACAAGCTGCAGAAGCTGGTGGCGGCCGACGGGCGCTTCAGGAACCTGAGGGACGCCCTGCACAGGTGTGACCCGCCGTGCATCCCGTACCTGGGCCTCTACCTCACCGACCTGTCCTTCATCGAAGAAGGCACGCCCACTTTCACGGAAGACCACCTCATCAACTTCTCCAAAATGAGAATGGCGGGTTTTTCCTCATTTCTTT